AGAATTTTCGAAAAAGAACCCTGATAAAACCTTGACTGAGACATTGAGATTGATGATTGCACATTTGGAAGAATTGCAGTACTGTTTAAGCGAGGAATACCAAGGACAAAGAAGCATGTTCAACCGACTCATTGATGCGTGTATGTGTTACGGTTTGACCGTTATTTTAGCTTAGGAGGAAACCTAAGCGTTTAATTAGGAATAATTACGATAAGACTGAAAGAGGAAGGATGGGCAAATAGAGATGAAATAGCACTACTAGCCAGGAGGTCAAAGCAACATCATAGCGTAATGGCTCCTGATAATACTTGGCTCGGTAGCAAGTATTAGGCCTAGGGGGAAGTTATCAGTCAGCAGATTCACGAAGCGGACCAAACGTTATAAGTACCTGTTAGTAGTAGCTAGAGATTTCTTTTCTCTTCATATAGTTTAATAAATCAATTTATTCATCACCAACTCAATTTCTGTCACAGTATGTTAGGATTCTTGAGAAATGCCTCAGGCAGGATTTATGGGTTCCTTGTTTAATCCCACTATTCTTTATTGCTTAGCAAGGGCACCTATGTAGTTTCCATTTCCGAGACTGAGATCTTCACGCTTTGTTTTCTGTCTTTGGGAATTGTTACATAATTCTAATCACATCTCACTCTCGTCCTCTGCCAACTATAGTGACCTACTGTCACTTCCGGCCCCTTTATCTAGAGCGACTCCCCGCTTTACCATTTACCACTTCTCTAGAAAGCCCTCTGTGTTCCCACGAGGCGTCCCTCCTCAGTACACCGTACGCTACGCCCTCTCCTACGCCTCGTGTCAGACAGATAACCCTAAATTTCAATATTGTATCATGATATCTAAGTTGAGTAGTTTACAAGCAAGTAAACTGGGCTGATGCATCAAGGGCAATAACTTAGTCATGCAAATGTTACAATCAGCGACTAGACAGATGGCCAATTTCATACGCACAACTCCCTTGTTGTTTCACTCCTTCTATTGCCCATGATAATGTAACAGCCAATTTCAGAACCATGTATGGAACGGAGATTAGAGCAGTTTGCATGGGCAATTTAATGGTCAGTCTGTTGAAATTACTACGGTGTGGTTTCACAATCGATCGTAAAGGTTGAGAAAGAGTTAATAGTATTATGTCTATCTGTCTGTCTCGTCGGGGAGAGAGAGTCCCAACTCATAACCAAAGTGGGACCTAGCTAGCGTGTTCATAGCGAGCTCGTCATGTGATCCCCCATGATGACAAATCTATTTTAGTGGAGCTCTATGAACCGACACTGGCAGCTTTTCTGTTTTGCTGACACTTTGAGATCTCTCTTCCCGCCCTCCTCTATTACAAAAGAAAGCTTTACATGAGTATGGTAACAAAATAAAGTACAAATGAAACGTAACAGTATTGCCCCTCATCCTTCACATCATCTCTGCAAGAAACCTTCCATATGTATCAATGTCTCATTGGAGTCAATGAAGTGTTGTAATGCCTTGTTTGGCATAGCTTTTGTCATGGTGTCTGCGGGATTGTCTTCGCTGTTGATCCAACGAATCTCCGTGATCTCTCTACGCTGATATGACTCACGAAGCGCCATGATATCAATCATTAGACGCTTCTCTTTGGTGGTGCCCAATTTGACAAGGCACTTGTACAACGAGCGAGAGTCAGTGCATATCAGTAATGGTAGCGATGGCAACCCCAACTGTTCCGAAACCATGTGGAAAGTGGTTGCAATTGATAGGCCGATGTCGAAGCCATTCACCATTCCATAAATCTCTGATGCCAGCACAGATCGAGTCATTCGTTTGCACTTGGTGGAGCTCCAATGGATGAGGTTCCCTTGGATGTCAAACTGCATATTGTTATGGTCTTTTTCATTGACAAGAGCTAATATGAACCCGATCTGAGAGCTCATGTCCTTGTTGTTAGCAAATAAGCCATCAGTGAGCACCACAATATTCGCTGTCGAGATGTCAAGTGGTACATATTTCAACCCGCGCTCGATGTTAGTCATTTGCCATTTGATTCGGCAATTCAATTTGTCGCATTCTACCTCATCAGGCTGCTGGGTCTGCGCTGCTGTTGACATATCAAATTAAGCTTCGGGTTGACAGATGGAAGCGATGTAGGCACCTCGAGCACGCTGCTCTACATACCGTTGGGCGTGATTGGTATCTTAACTGTCGATGGTTCGAAGCTTCATACCTTGACCCTTTTGTAGCAGTTGAATATTGATATCATCGCTCACAAGTTGGGCTCTGTTGAAGTCGAAATGGGTACCTTTGATAAGCTTGACTTTAGGCTTCGCTCTGAACTTGGCTTCTTGAAGCTTCTGTTCCTCGAGTTCAGAGAATACTTCTGTTGATAAGATGAGGGTGCCATCTGTCTGCATCCAAACGATGCCAAATCCTTCAGCTCCTATTTTTGTGATCAACAGGTAGGGGTCAAATGACGACGTTATCATTTTCAACAGGTTCTGGTGGTGATTTTGGTAAGTTGTCCACCAATGTACTTCTGCTTTGGCAATGCCATATAGTGGTCAAATAACATGCATAATTGTCCCCTCAGGATACTTACTTTTCAGCTCAAGAGGTAACTTGGCAAACACAAGGCGATCCAGTTTAGACTCTGCGTGTGTGTATGCTTGTATGATATCACGCAAAGTTAGAGACATGCAATACTTACTGATGAGAGTCGGCACTACTGAGAGGATCAAGCGCTGGCTCATGCGCTGGATAGTTGGTGACTGAGTGAGCAACATGCGTTTCTCATCATCACTATGGCCTGAAATAACGAGCCGCGATTTCTCATAAGGTTTATCAGTCTTAGATTTGACTTCACGCACCATACGTGAGCCGAATATACGATGGCCACCATGTTTGGTCTCATTGTACATCTCAAAATTGAAAACACCTCGCATAACGAGATCATTTATCTCCTTAGCGTCTGATTCCTCAAATGGTTCTCCTGGCGTATTGATAGTCCCTTCGGCGCGCAGTTTGAGAGCCAACTTAAAATCATCCTCCTCCTTATGCGTGATAAATACTGTTGCCTTTTCGGGTGCTGGGAGAGACTTTGGCTTGTTCATACTGCCCGTTGGTCTTCCATGTTGGCGCGGAATTGGCACCTCAATACGCGGACGTAATTCCGTGGCCTCCGAGCCCAGTTGAGAATCATCCTTCAGCAGCAGTTTTGAACTCGAAACCTGCACATTGCTGCTCTCATTGCGGTAGTAGGGTCGAATCAAGGTGGAGTGAAAGGTGACTGGACCTTTGACCATGTCGCGCGTGATGTCATGACCATCAATTGCAATAATCTTATACAGGCCCTGCCAGCCATGCTTCTCGCGCCACACATGCACTTCGCCTCGTAGCGGGAGGCTGATGATGTTGGCTGTGTCGGGGCCATTTCGTGCGTTGAGTGCATCATTGACGTATCTCTTAGCATGTACTTGGCGGAGCTCTTTCATTGCCTTTTGGATTGTATCAGCTCTCTTTAACATGGAGGGTGATGGCGGCGAGTCTTGATTGATGCGCGGGTACGCTCCGAATACCAGCAGTGTTGGAACGGGACCATCAGGCCCGATGGTATTGTTAACGGCCTTGACTGCCATTTGCAATGTCAATTCTGGTCTTGTACTTGGAAGCTCGGCAGATAGAATATTGAATGCACGGCGTAGTGGCACCTGGTACCTTTCGATCTTACCAATTGACTGGTGTGGTTCAACTGGCACCTGCTTACACGTCACTCCCATCAACTTGGCCTCTGCTTTGAACTCCACAGAAGCAAAGTTTGTACCTGCATTGTACGTGATGATGTCTGGCGGTCACTGGTAAGAGTCGATCTAGAGTGCCTTCAGCGTTTCCCATGTGTCTTTGGCTGACATGGAAGGGAGGAATCTTGCACCTTGAGAAGATGTAGCTGCGTCGACGACATGGAGTACAGGCTTTCCATTCAGGCTCATCTCATTGATAATGATCTCATAGTTGAAGTTTGCATTGTCTTTCAGGGAGAATTTGAGCCTATGGGGAGCAATTTCGTTCATCTAGCAATGATGGCAGAACTGGTTGATCTTTTCGAGTACCTGGCAATTAGTTTCCTCCACATGATCGACTTTCACTAGCATGTGGTGCAACCTCTCTACAGTAGGGTGGCCAAATCGACGATTTAATTGGTGAAGTTCGGGCTCTGTCAGGAACAGTGTTGCATTTTCAATTTTGTTCAGAAAGAACTATGCATGCCCCCATTTTCTTACGACAGGCACTCTGTTCAGACCTTTGCTTGTTCTCTGATCATTCACATTTCATGTGTTGTCGAGATACAATTTAAGACGGTCCATATCCCCAAGAGAAAGAAGGAACAACGTGGGTGTGTTCAGCACATGAAACGTGATCTTACCAACCAGAGTGTCAAGAATTGTTGAGCCAATTGAAGGAATTGGTTTACCCTTGCCAAACTGGATTTTTGCCTGGCCCGCTGTACTTGTGTCAAACACTACTTTTGAATCCTCTTGTTGTAAAGCTAATAACTGCTCTCTACCCACAGTTGACATATAAGCGGCTCCAGTATCTGGCAGAATTCCTTGGAATATGACTCTTGAGTAGCGATCTTCAATGAGAAACTGTGAAGGTTGGTTGTTGTGTCTCATGTTATAGACATCCTGACCAGTCACATGGTGTATGAATGCTTGGTTGGTTAGGTAAGTTGCATTTTACGTTTCTTGCCCGTGTGCCTCAAAGCCCTCATTGTTGTCAGCTTCGCTATGATCACTTGTAAATATGCCTTCCGTGAGATATTGACCAGTCAGCTCCTGACCCTCAAACTCAACAAGAAAAACTGCCATACTTTGCGTGGTAGGAATGATGCTGTCAACTTCACATTGCGTTATGAATTGGTTTCTCATTCGACGCTGTTTGTCAGCAGTATGCTTTTTTAACCAACATCCTTCTTTCCTGCAGATATAGCACTTCTTCCAATTTTTACCTTTCTTTTGGAAGTTGAATCAGGTATCACCATAACTCTGATTCTTGTCTCGAGGGCGAGAGTTGTTGTAATGCCTTACGAGATAATACTGCTCCGATGACGGCGCAGAGGATCTCTCCACAAAAAACTGTGATGCAAGTGTATGATTTATAATTGTTGATCTTAGGTTTGCCATCAGTTCTTCGGGATCACCTGCCGGCTTGTAAATGGCTGGTGCAAGTTTGGTGGATTGTCTACAAGCACGCAAAAGCTGGTCACAGAGCTTGTCTTCACCTTCATATGAATTGCCCATTGCCCTCTGGCAAATACTAAGCTTATCAAACAATATATCCAGGACTTCCCTCAAGCCTTTATCAGGATTTTCATTCTTTACGCTAGCAAATGTTACTGTTTGCCATTCTTGGAGGTAGACCTGGCAATTTGCGTCTGTGTCAAAATGCACTTTTATCTTGATATAGGCGTCAGTAAACGAGTCTCGCCGGCTCACCGTGCGATTTTAGTACAGCAACGCTCGGTCCTCAAGCATTTGGTTGAAAACTGCATGAAACTGCGATGGAAAGATCTCGAGCAATTCACATGCTCCTGGGAAATGGTTGACCTTATCATCAAATACTTCATACATCAAGCCATGGAAATTGTTCTTCTTGTTCCATTGCTTAGCAAAATTGATGACTGCTGATAGTTCCAGCCTTTTGTTTGGCACATTGCGAGGAGGGAGGTCAGCATAGGGGTCATGCTGGAAGGTTTAAAAATCCGGTGATTGCTCATTGAACGGAGCAGGAGGGTACGCTGAGCTGGCACGGGATGGATTATCTCTTGACTGCGGCTGAGGTTGAGGTTGATGAATTTCACGGGCTATATTTAACTTGGCTCAGGCTGTTCATAAACTATATTTTGAGTGGCTGGAGTTTGGTATGAAACTCTTAGGGGGCGGTGTATGGTATCTGGCTGTGTGCAGGTTGTCGTTGGCTAAGGCTGTGCGGCTTGAGTATCAGTGCTGTTGAGCAGCCGTAACTTTTTCTGATAGAAACGTGACTTCAATAGAAGGTCAGTTGTCATAAGGTCATTGTCATTCCATTCAGGTAGCTCTTCAAATTGAAGGACTGCAGCTAACTGGCGTGCAATACCGGCTCTGATGCTGCCTGTATTGATGCCTCCTCTTCGTATCAGTATTCTCAGCATACGTTTCACATCTCGATGAATCTCGTTGAACATTTCAATGCTCCAGCCATCGAAATTGTTACAGAAAGAAGCTATAAGTTCATCATTGACAATTATGGATTTCTTGTAGCTGATAGCACACTGTACTGCAAACGTTGTGAGCTGCTTTGCATTTGTGTTATTTACATCTGTGATTGACTGGCACCAGTACTGAGCTTCAATTGCTCGAATCAAAATTTGAGGCTGTAACTCAAGGGTTTCTAGCACCTGGAGTAATGTTTCTCTTGGCATGATATTATCCTCCTCATCTTTTATGCTTCCTCGTGTCTCCTGAAACATATTGGCGCTCTTAAGTTTCTCAGACAATGCTACTTCTGGCTGCAAAGTTTCTGAAAAACCTGGTTGTGACATTCTGAAGGTCTGAGTAGGATTCGAATTAAAGTTGTTGGTAATAATGTAATAAGGGGGAAAAAATTGCTGTGTTGTATGTTTATGTGCAATGATCTCGGCTACACTCTATACAGAGATCGAGATAGCACTTGATTGTCCTGCGTGGATGACGCTCTTTGCAGGTGATGGATGATCTTCTGAAGACTCGAGATTCAATCGCCTAGCAAGGTATGTTAGTTTCATGGATCATTGTGGCATAGCGTATTATGAAACGCCATGCAGATGTAAGGGCTAGAAGTAGAATTGTATTCAAATTGTACTGTGTGCTGTGTATAGAAGATCTTAAACTAAAGACAGAAGATGGAAGAGGAAAAGTCTTCCTTATATACATTGAAAGGTGGTCTATGCTGTTACCAGACTATACCAAAATAGAGCAACTAAATAGTCACCTAATTGGTATCAGCTCAGATCAGTCACCCAAGCCCAAGCCTTGGCTGCCTTAGGCTCTAGCCTATGACATTACCCTCTCTGTCCCATTTCTTAGCTTTTGCTCTAGCTTTGTAAGCATCCAATGCACAGGTCTCTTGAAAATCATGTTGTGGGTGCCATGATGGTTTGGCATAACCTGCCCACTTCACAAGCACCTCTTTCCTACTGCCCCTTCCAATCTTTCTATTCCTTGAGTCTAGAATCTCATCAACTCCAAATTCTACATCACCAGTACTTGTTAATATTCCTGGAGGTTGAGAATCATCTGATTTCTGTGAAGGAAGAGGATCATTATGGGCTGGTCTTAAGAGTGATGTGTGAAACTTATTATGAATACCTTTAGGAGTATCTAATTCATAAAAGTGAGCTGAGTCCGGAAATGTTCTAGTTATTTTGTACTTGGCATGTATCCAGTCAAGTTTCTTGGAGGGTCTCTCAGTGTTTATATTCTTTAAATTTAACCAGACCAGATCTCCAAGCTTATAAGTAGGTGCAGTATCTCTAGAATTGTTGGCATATTTTTCTTGAGACTGCTGGGCAACTGCCATTGATGTCTGTGCAAACTGATGCGCCTCTGAGAGCTTCTCAATAACATCCTGACCTCTTGAAGCTGGTGTTCCTGGAGAAGAGGGATTATGATCTGATACTAAAGATATAGAGATTGCAGCATATCCATGGGTCATAAAAAACGGACTTATCTGAATTGTGGTACCTATTTTGTTATTGATAGATACCTGTGCTAGTGGGATCCAATCTTTCCAGTCTGACTGTTCATAAGCAATGAATGATCTCAGATAAGTTTCTACCTCTTGATTAGCTCTCTCTGTTGAACCGTCAGTTTCTGGATGATAGGCTGTTGATAGCCTCTGGTTGATCTTAAGTCTATGACATATAGTGTTCCAGAATGCATTAACAAATTGAGGTCCTCTATCAGAAACAATTGCCCGAGGAATCCAATGGTGAGGCAAGTAGTACTGAAAAAATAATTTAGCAAGTCCTTCTGCATCAAACATATCTGGGGGAACTGGTATTAGGATTAAACCTTTGCTTAGTCTATCTGTAATGACCAAAAGAATAGTTGTCTTCTCAGGACCAGAGGGAGGAAGGCCTGTAATGAAATCCATAGATATTTCCTGCCATATCTGTGATGGAATGGGTAATGGTCTGAGCAAACCTTTTTTCTTGTCTCTCCAAATAGTGGTTCTGCCACAAACATCACAATTTCTTACAAACCTCCTTACTTCCTGGTTTGATCCTGGCCAAAAAAACTTCCTTGACACCAATGAAATTGTACCATCTCTTCCTGGATGACCCGAGAGGAAAGAATCATGAATCTTTTGTATAACAGCTGTAGTCAAGGGCTCAAAGTTGGGTAGCCAAATTCTCTCCCTATAATACAGAATATTATTGTTAAATATTGCACATTCCCCTGTAGAAATCCTTAGCTTCAGGTCAGAAGGAAATAGTCTATCTTGATTTTTAACTGAGTTAAATGCTCTGGTGTATCTTTCAATAGGCTCTCCTGATTTTAAGGCTTGATTCCACAAACTGCAAAGGTCTGCGTCATCTTGAAATGGGCAAGGTAAGTTAGTAGTGACCATAGAGTTCATCCAAAGTTGGGTGCTAGAAGGATGTTTTCCCTAGCACCAATCCTAGAATCTGAAGCATCCTTTGGTATATCTTGCTCTCTTCTAGATAGTGCGTCAGGTACAACGCTTGCCTTCCCTAGGCTATGCTTTAGTTTGAAGTTTAGAGGAGCAAGTACTTCCATCCACCTAATTTGTCTTTCATTTAATACCTTCTTTCTTTCAAATGGCTCCAGGTTTTTATGGTCTGTAAGAATGGTTAAGGGCTTCTTTAGCCCTCTAAGCTCGCTATTCTATTCCTTGATGCATTTAATGATGGCTAAGAGCTCCTTGTCATGAATATCATAATTGCACTCTGCTGGGAGATGTTTTGCTGAATAAAATGCAACTGGTCTCCATAGTTTTGATACTGGATCAAGTTGTGTTAAGGTACCACCAATAGCCCATCCTGATGAGTTGGACTCTAATTGTGTTTCTAGATCTGGATTAAAAGTAGCTAGAACTGGTTCTTCCTTGAAAAGATTCTTGATATGTTGAAAGGAGTCCTCACAATCTTTTGTCCATTCAAACTTTTGATCCTTCCTGGTTAGATTTGTCAAAGGTCTGACAAGCTTTTCAAAGTCCTTGATGAAAAGCCTATAGTAATTTGCAAATCCTAGAAATGACCTTACCGATTTAACACTAGTAGGTGACTTCCATCCTGTTATTGCTTGCACCTTAGTTGGATCCATCTTGATGCCAGTTCCTGTTTCTATCACATAGCCAAGATACTTAGTCTTTTTGGTCTCAAATTCGCACTTTGAGATATCTAAGTGTAAACCATTTTCCTGTAGGCCTGTTAGTACCTTAGCTACCTTCTCTCTATGGTCTTGAAGTGTTCCCGAGGTGAATATAAGAATATCATCCACGTAAGCTGAGCAGAAGTTGTCCAAATACTCTCCAAGGACCCAGTTTATATACCTCTGGAAGGTGGCAGGAGATCCAGTAAGTCCAAAAGGACAAACTTTCCACTCAAATAGGCCATATCTTGTCCTAAATGCTGTCTTCCATTCTTCACCTTTAGCCATTCTGATCCTATGAAAAGCAGCTGACACATCCAGCTTTGTGAGCCACTTAGCAGAGTTCAGAGCATTCAGAGTCTCTTTTATCAGAGGAAGAGGGTACCTGTCCTTCTTTGTGATTGCATTTATTCCTCTGTAGTCAACACAGAATCTTAGGCCACCTCCAGGCTTCTTTGCAAAAAGAACAGGTGCTGCAGCTGATGATTTGCTTTGTTGAATAAAATCTTTATCAAGTAGGCTAGTTAATTCCTTTCGAAGCACTAGAAGTTCATCATGACTCATGTTATAAAGCGGTCCCCATGGAACAGGTTTTTCATTTCCATTTTGATCTTTCTCTAAAGGTATCTCATGATCAGTTCCGAGCCTATGAGGTGGTAGACTAGCTGCTTCTTTTGGATTAAAAACCTGGGCAAAAGACTTGTAAGAGTCAGGTAGCATAGAGGTAATTTCTTTAATAGAAAGCTGTATCTTTGGCCTGAGCGCTTTTTCTATGTCTGATAGTGAGGCGGCAAACACCTGCACTGTTTTGCTTTTCCTTGCTCTCTGTGCTAGGCCTGTGAAAGTTGAGGCCATAACTTGACTGACAGTAAATGCATGAGCTCCTA